TACTCACCGCAGCTGGTTCACCGGCCGTCCTCTCTCCCCAGCACCAGCATCTTAAGTGTAGTCACCCGGCTGTGACAGCTTGCAGCTTCACAGCCGGGTGCCCACTGCGCATGCATGAGTAGCACTGTATTTTGTGAATGGTCCTACAGTCTTCTTTCACCGAAGACTATGGGGGGGGGGGGGGACTTCCGCTTCCGATCACCTAGGCCATCACAGCAGAAGTGGGAGCAGGTACCTGTCTAAATCACGTACCCACCCCCCAACTCCCCAAAGGAAGGTTCCAATCCTTAACGGGAAGCGGGGACCAGTACTTAAAGCGGAATTTCCCCTTTTTGGGTGGAGGTCTGCTTTAAGGCTGCGCATAAATGGGTAAAAATTCTGGCATTTCGGCTTGTGAGAGATAGAAAGAAAATCACACCATTTCCCCATCTACAGGATGGAGGAGTCACTGTTGGGTTCAGGCAGCCATTACTGCTGTACAGTAATCGCATCTGACAAAATCCAGTCACTGCTCAGGCAATAATTCCCCTCTCAGCTCAGACTAATGTTAAATTGTTTTTTGTTGAGCAGGGTGGTGCCGGGCGGTGCATGTGCACACCTTCAGTGGCTGATTCAACAAAAATTGGGTAAAGTATGAGTCCTCTATGGGAGTCCTAATGCCTGGTACACACGATGAGAAAACTGGCTGAAAAAAAAAACGCATTCGTAGCGATCGTCCGATAAGCTATTTATTAATACACAGCTTTCGAGAGCCAATGCCGACATTTTACAAGAGAAAATTTGTGCTTGTCCCTTCGGATATTTTTGCATGAACTAACAGAACAAACTATTTTCATGTAATTAGTATAGTATTTGTACGAAAAAATACTATACAAGACACGTGCTCGGAAATGAAAGAATACATTATTATACAATACATTACATCATCCCAGGAAGTTGTATTCTATCTTACCAGAATTTTTGTAACTTTAGTTACCTATTCGTTTTCGATATGAGACTTATGCCAGCCATAGACGGTTCAAAAATCAGCCGATTTTCGCAGTGTTAGTGGGTTCATTGGTTGGCCGGTTTTCGTTTTTTTTTTTTTTTTTTGCACTTTTGGATTATCGGTCATGTTGGAAAATGGACGATTTTCACAGCAATGATGGCCAAATCGTACGATCGTTTTAACGAAAAAAAATATGCACATGAGCCGTGACCTGGAAGGAACAGAAGTTTTGGCTGTTATATGGGGTGAACTTTATGACTTGGTCGGCTGATTTTTGTAATCATTGGTGGTAACGTCGGTTTAACGAACGACCAATTTTTCGTTTATCGTTCGAAAAAAACACGTGGTTTTCTAGCTGTCTATGGCCTGCATAACATGCAAAAAAAAAAAAAAAAAAAAACAGACTATCCTTTGTCAGATATTCTCTTCATGTGTACTAGGCTTAAGATGCATACATTGAACACTGCTAAGTAGATAAACATCACAAAAATTTAATTGATGGTGTTTGAGCATATATTATCTGTGACAAGTCGTAAAGCTATTCAGACTTACTGGTTTGTTTTCTTTCTATGTGTTTGTGTGAAGGAGCAGAAAGACCTATTAATCTTGTTAGCCTCTCTCAGCATACTTTATCCTAAAACTCTGGATAAGCAGCTAAATACACCATCTATTTGCCAAAGGATTTGAATCCTGTACAGCCACACTCATGAGAAACTGCAATTCCAGATCCACTACCTCCACTGAAGCAGCATAGCTTGGTAAAGGATACACCTCTGCCCCTGGTTTTTGACAGTATGAGCTAAGTCACACTATGGGGCTTATTTACTGAAACTGCAGAGTAGAAAATCTGGTGCAGCTCTGCATAGAAATCAATGACCTTCCATTCTTTTTTTGTTTAAGCTTGAAGTGATTCTAAATGAAATATTTCATTTGGGTCCCCCAACAGCGTTCCTGGATCCTTTCCCTTGCCAAGTGCCCCCAATAGCAAGCCTCTTGCTATGGAGGCACTCAAGCAGGTTTGCTCCCGAGCTGTGTGTCCATTCACACACGAGCTTGGCCCCACCCCTGCTCCCTTTTCATTTGCTCACTTACTGTGAATGACAGCAGATGGAGCCAATGAGGAGAGAGGGAGAGACCCTGGAGAGCCACTTCTGTCATGCACATTGCTGAATCGAGATGAAGTTCGGGTAAGTATTGGGGGGGGGGGGGGGGGGGTGTCTGCACCCTGAAGGTTTTCTACCTTAACCTCCCTGGAGGTATTCCTGAGTGTAGCTCGGGGTAAAGTTTCAGTACCACAAGCGGTAACCCCGAGCTACACTCGGGAATACCTTGCAGCACTGCTCTGGGATCCCTCGATCACTTACCTTGTCCTTCCCGCGATGTCCCTCCTGCAGTGTCCCCTGTAATGTCCTCCGGCGGATGCCAGCATCTGTCATCTGGGTTCTGTCCCCTGCGAGCGTCGGGACGTACGGGGGACGGAACGGCGGAAAATTTGAAAAATGACAAAAAGTGACATTCACTAAAATCACATAGTAAAACATTACTGTATCAAACCATTTCACATACATTTTGTCCCTAGTGCTTTGTCCTGTGCCCTGCCTACATATTTACTGTTCTTTCTGCCTGGAAACTGAGAAACATCCATGGCGTCCAAAAAGCGTCCCTTTAGGTCAAAAGCGGTTTAGATCAGCTAGAGAACAGCGATAGTAAATCAGAACTACTTGCAGAATTGAGTGATAATGATTCGTGGGGGAAATTCGTCATCAGACACTGAAAACAATTTTGCGACTGAGCTCAGTGATGTGCGAACTTGGCGCTATATTTCAAATTTCAGTGTTTTTGGTTTGATTACATTATTGAATTAAATTTATTATTATATTATTTTTTATGATTCTTTATTAAATTATAATTTATGATTTCATGTTTCAAGTTTTATCATACCCAGGATGTTTACTAGACTCTTGTTCAGACAGATTTCAGTGAGTTATTCCTAAAAATTACAGGCCTACAATAGAAAAAAAATACATATTTCCATGCAAAAAAATGTACCACTTTGAGCACAGAAATATGGACATAATCAGACCGCTAGGGAGGTTAAACCCTGGTTCACACTGATGCGGTGCGGAATTTGCAGCTTTTTCAGTTTGAATTCCACACCGTATCAGAATCGCACTGCTGCGGATCTGTATGTTAACAACAACCCAAAAGCAGTCTGCAAAACGCGGTGCGATGTGTAGATGTGGTATGCTGTAGGGTGTGCTGACACAGCACACTGTTTATTTCACACATAATTTAAACACTTCACACTTTGTTCAATTTTGGTTCTTGGAAAGTCCCTTTTTCTAAAACAATGTATGCTTTTCAGTGCTCTGACTATTGGGATAAACGCACCATAATTCTTCTGTTATGACTGACCAGTAAAAAATGTATCTCTAACATCACACTGGTTTTTTATTTTATTTTAAGGGCCTACTCAGCTTGGCGATTCCCACATTGTGTGTTTTGACAGCTCATTCGTTTGCTTGCACTAGTTTTAAAAACACAACACACCAAACCATTTGGTATTGAGGTACCATGTTATTTGGTGCCCACAAACACATTCCATTTGTGACCTGTGTTTGGGGTGCAATTAACAATGCGTTGACACCCACATGCAGATTGCAAGGGCTATTCGTTCACCTGTGGTATGTGAAAAGCACACAGAACGTGCCTTCGCTCACCACCTTCTGATGTGAACCGGCCCTTAACCCCTTGACGCCGACGTAACACAAATATGCGGCCTCACGGACCTGGGCTTTTTTCCGTGGGGCCGCATATTTGCGTACCTGTCTTTGTGCTGGGAGCGCGCCGTTTGGCGCGCTCCCAGCACCAAGACCGCGGTGTCACTGAGAGCCCCGGGTCCCGTTCTAACGATCGGGACCCGGGACTCCCGATTCCGGGTCACGTGATCGCTGTGATAGCCTCTGATTGGCTATCACAGTGATCAATCACTGTGCAGCCCGGCCCCCTTGTTTTCTCTCTCTCTATGAATGGAGAAGAGAGATACATTGTATCTCTCGAACTCCTGACATAGAGAGATAAAAAAAAAGTTTGTAAAAAAAAAAAAAAAAAAGATAAATAATTAAAAAAGAAAAGAAAAAATAAAGAAAAATACCTAGATCAAGGTTTGATCTAGTTCAGTACCAGGGTTAGTGTTTGGGTCAAGGTCAGGGTCAAAGGTCAGGGTCAAGGGCAAAGGTCAGGATTTAAAAAAAAAATTGGTATCAGTGTCAGTGTTAATGTCAATGTCAGTGACAGTGTGTTTTATGTAAAAAAAAAATAAAAAAAAAGACAAAAACAAAATGCGCACTGTTGTTTCTGGACTGTACTACGGGTACAAACAACAAATAATATACACATATATGGTATCGCTGCGATCGCCAAGAACTGGAGAATGTATTTTGGGTTGTTCTTTGGTGGTAGGTTATGGTCGTAACAAGAAACACACAGTTAAATTAAAAAAAATGATTTTTTTTACTATTTTGGCCCAGTTTTCCTTTAATAATAATAAAAAAATTAGGAGCTATCCATTACCATTTACCACCAAAGGAAAGCCCAATTTGTCCTAAAAAAAACAAGGTATAATCCACCTGGATGTACAAAGTAGTTGTGACGATATGTACGGTTTTACTAACACGGCAACGTTGCAGAATTGTGCTTAGGCATTTAGATTTGTTTTACCCTTAGGCGTGAAGGGGTTAAGCAAACTTTATTCAAATATAACTGAGTTACATTTCATTTGGTTCTTTGAGCTGCAGGCGTGAGGCGGTGCATTGTATGACTACTGCATGCCATACTTTTTTCAGCACACATCACCACAAAGGGGTCTTTCGAACTGTCCTCATAGGAGACTAGGCATTTGCCTTGTCTTGGGGTGAGGCTATGCAGGGCATGCTTGGATTTTAGGGGCCCTTCACCACCTCCCGTCCGGCCGTTGTATATAAACGGTGGCAGTGCAAGGTCGGGTGGCTGTTTATAAACGGCTTTCCCAGCCCCCTGCTTGTGCGTGCTCCCTGGGAGCGCGCAGCACCGAGATCTGCTGCCCAGACACAGCGAAACACGATTGTCGGATGGGACCTCCGTGCGAGGTCCCGATCATGTGATCACTGATTAGCCAATCAGTGATCACATGCAGAGTGGTAAGCAAGATGTCACTTGTGACATCATTGCTTACTACGTGTGAAATCACAGCCTTGTACTATGTGACAAGCTGTGACTAATCACAGCTCACTCAGTAGTTCTCAATGGCTGCAAGAATGCAGCTAGAGAGAAGGATAAATGATTGCTTTTATATCCTTTATGAGTGCAAAAGCAATCCGTGTAAAAAAAAAAAAAAAAATCTTCATCACCCCCCCACAAGTAGTACAGTGTCACCATGGTGACACTATACTGCTAGGGTGATGGTATGTAAAAATAAATAATATTAAAAAAATAAAAAGAAATGTAAAAAAAAGTTTATAAATTAGAATTTTTGGTTATAAACTAATTTTGGGTTATTTTTTTTTTTTTTTACTAAAAATATAACGGAATAAATTTTGGCCAAGATTTATGATGAAATATTTATTTGCAACATTTTATAAGAAAAACACTTTTTTTAAAAAAAATTTGGGACTTTTTAATTTACATAGCAAAAAAAATAAAAATCCCAGTGGTGAATAAATACCAAAATAAAGCTTTATTTGTCTAAAAAAAAATGCTAAAAAATTCATATGGGTACAGTATTGCATGACCACGCAGTTGTCATTCAAAGTGTGATAGCGCTGAAAGCTGAAAATTGCCCTGGACAGGAAGGGGGTAAAAGTGTCCGGACAGGAAGTGGTTAAAGAAGAACAATAATAAAAAAAAAAAATGAAATTTATTATGGCCACCACATCTAATGATTGGTATTGCATTTTTGGTTTTGGGTTTGATAACTTTTTAACGTATTTTTCTTAAATTAAAATTTGAACTTGATAAATTGTTGTGCTAACATTGTGTGACACAGCAACTTGGAACTACCAACATTTTATTCTCCAGGGTCTCTGCTTTCAGGAAGTATATCATTTTTGGAATTGTATTTAATCCTTAGGCTTAAAATGTTTTTTTTAAACGTGTGGAAAAAAATGGCTTTGGCAGCAAAAGGGCTATATAGTAATTCTTCCTTATTGACAAATGTGATATTGTAATTATATTGATATTGTCACACAACCTCTTGCTTCCTTATACTTGTACAGGCTTTGAAAAAGAATATAGTGTACCCAGTTAAAACAATGACATTCGCTGACCAGGAATTGGAGGCGCCTTAAATTTTGTTTCCAGTTTTCTCTGTATGTAAACCAGGGTGGATTTGATTTAAATCACTAGTCAGTAAGGCTTGATTTAAATCCTAGTTTTCTACATATAGACTAATTCTTGCTGGTATAACTTTAATATGCAAGTAGATGAAGATTTTTAGAATAACAACTTTTCATATTAGTTTTTTTATCCCCAGTTTAATAGGTTAATCATTCATATTTGGACAACTTTTCTGTTGTACTTAGGAAGGAGAAAAATAATCATTACCTTAATAATAACAATTTAAATAGATTTATTCAACTGAAACAATAACCTTACAGCATATGTTATTTGCTTAAACTAACATCCATGTTTGTTAACTAATTTGGCTAAACAAATATATATATTTTAAGAAACGTAGACTGTCAGCCCCTTCCACCTCACACTTAGTTTCACTTTCTTCTTGTGCAGATCTATTCTACTCCAAACAATCAGAAAAATATTGTTTCTATTCTATTCACTGAACTTCTCGAAACTTAGCACTGAAGGGGTTGATTCTGTATTCATAGGTTTGTAGAAGTTAGGATTAAGGTCTTTTTCTTAACTCTGTTCATGTTATAACATTTTTGCTGTGAAGAAGAGGCATGTGATCTCCGCTGAGTCAAATTCAGTTCTAGAACTGCAAAAGTAAACCAAGCATCTGTGATAATATCTTGTAGGCAGAGAAACTGCCCAATAATCTTACAAAAACCTCTGGAAGAGCATGACATTGTGAATGGATTCATGGAATTTATTTACCAAAATAATTAAACATATACAGCCTTATTCTACATAATTAAAAAAAAAACTAATCTTTATTTCATGATGGAATAACCTTTGGATGGTAATATATTTTCCTCAAAAAGCATTTTATTTAAAAAAATCAGATTTTAAATTAAAAAAAATCTGATTTTTTAAAAAAAATCATTAATTTTTATCCACCCTGATGTAAACACAGTTGCAATAGATTTTTTTAGCTTGTTTTTCTCATTGCTTGCTTTGGGAACTATTATATTATTATAATAATACAGGATTTATATAGCAGCAGCAGTTTGCTCAGTACTTTACAAATGACGGTAGACATTACAGTTACAATACAATTTGATACAAGAGGAAACAGAGGGCCCTGCTCATTAGAGCTTACAATCTAGGAATTTCATAAGCCTCTTTAAGCCTAAGGAACTAGATGCTTAGTAAGTACAGTGTAGCCCATCATTTTGGCTCTGCTTTCCACGATCAGTTTCATATGAAAGGTGTATATATAAGCATTAAATGATACAAGGATTTTTTTTCGTACCAAATAGTCAAAAACCTTATAAACTCCATGCTGAGGTTTCATGATAAACATCCTTGACAGGAAAGCTGCATGCCATATTGATCTGGCTGTAGACATATGGTATGGTAATCAGATTGTGTCTGCTTACTTTGTCTAAAAAGAACAATAGTGGTCAGCTGGAAAAATCCAGCCCTTCCAGCTGACTTTTTCCATGAGAACAACCGGCTAGGAGTATCTGATGTCCCTGTTGGCAGCATGCTGTGTTTGCCATCAAATATCTATAGGTGCCATATGATTGTACAGTGAAAGCATTATGGAATACTCTGCCATTAGCCTTGGCTTTTTAAAAAGCAGACATCTGGCACACTCGAACAGTTTGTTTAGATTTGCGGTTGGGGGGTGGTAAAAAAACATGAGTTAGCCACATTTCCTACGCTCTTCCTTACAGCCCAAAGGCAACAGACTGTTCACATGCCATAATCGTGATTCTTTAGATTGTAAGCGCCATGAGCAGGGCCCTTCTATTCCTTCTGTATTGTATTGTAATTGTATGGTCCCCTTTATACCGTAAAGCGCTGTGCAAACTGTTGGCACTATATAAATCTTGCATTATAATAATAATAATTATTATACAGGGCTTATATAGCGCCAACAGTTTGCGCAGCTTTACAATATAACAGGAGACAATACAGTAACAATACAGTTCAATACAAGAGGGATAGGAGGGCCCTGCTCCTTGGAGCTTACAATCTAGGAGGGAGGGGCTAGTGGTACAAAAGGTAGTAACTGTGGGAGATGGACTGGTTGGAGAGTAGAAGATTCCATTATTAGCTGAGGGCAGGATAGGCTTCCTTGAAGAGATAGGTTTTCAGAGATCGCCTAAAAGTGAGTAGAGTAGGCGATAGTCTGATAAATTGGGGTAGAAGCTCTGGAGAAGTCCTGGAGATGAGCATGGGAGGAGGAGACAAGAGAGCTAGAGAGCAGGAGGTCTTGCGAGGAGAGTACGGTTTGGGTGATATTTAGAGACAAGATCGTTGATGTAATTAGGGGCAGAGTTATAAATGGCTTTATACATTAATAATAATGCTGCTTTGCTTCACAGTAAAATGATCCTGCAGGTTCAGCAGGCACTTCTGCTGCTGAATGTCACCCATTCAAGTGAATAGGGACACGCCACAACCTCCCCACAATGCACGTAGTTGAGTGTTGGTTTTCTAGCATGTATGAATGAGGTGGCTATATGTCTGTGAGACACCTCTGAAAAGCGATCAGACTTGCTTTTTAGAGGCACTTGGCTCATCTTTAAACCTAGCCTACAGCTGGCCATATACTGATATAGATTTTTTTTTTCTTTATTCAGCCTGAAAGAACATAAAATCTAGCAGATTCCTCCATCCAAGCTAACAGTGCAGATAGACGAATCTGCAGTGCTAGCTATTGTACTTTGTTACCTGGCGCCTGTAGCTGTTCGAATATCTGAATGTCCGAACAGTGCTTTCATCTTATTGGACGCAAGCCAACAATTATCTGTTTGGTTCCTTCCATTGAAGAGTGCCAGTCAACAAGTAGGGGGTAGAGTGGGGGTGCCAATTGGGTCACCCACAGGTTGGATTTGATTTAAATCACTAGTGAAAAGGCTCAATTTAAATCCTAATTTTAAAGAGCAATTGTCATCTCTGTCCTGCAGCGGCTCCTCCTCTGACCCGCTGTTGACTCACCGAAAGTCCCATTCACTTTAATGGGATGGCTGGTGATGCGGCAGTGACACAAGTTGAGGGACGTGGTGGCAGCAGGTGTGTGGACACCCACTAACAGGCGCTGCCAAGATGGATCTAAAATGACAGGTGCTCTTTAAATGTAACGAATCTGACTCATTACTGCTGGCAGCAGAATCTTTAATATTTGCAAACCAAATGAAGGTTTCCTTTTTAGAATATAAGCTGTCAGGGTAGTAAAACAGTGATATCAGAACCAATTTTAGGTTAATAGGTTAATCACACATAGCTGGAGAACAACTCAAATTCTTTTATTCTCATGGTTCCTGTGAAATTGTGTGAATGCATCAATGCAGTGCATTTTATCTCAGCTTGCAGAGCTTGGATTCATTGAATGAGTTTACCAAAAATGTAAATGTTGCAGAATATACAGCCTCATGCTACATAACTAAGCTCCATTTCATGCTGAGTAAACTAAATTATTAATGTATCTTAAATAGAAAACTATCTTTAGATAGATTTTTAGTCCAAAAGCATTTTATTAAAATTTTATAAAAATCAAAAAAATCCAATTTAAATTAAAAAAAGTCTGACTTGAATAGCAAAAATAAATGTTTTAAATTTTTTTTAATCGTTGGTCACCCACAAACCGATCTTCAGGGACAGACAAAATCAACTCAGTGTCAGGCTAGATCAGTGTTTTCAACTCCAGTCCTCATGGACCCCCAACAGGTCATGTTTTCAGGATTTCCCTCAGATGAAACAGCTGTGGTAATTACTAAGGCAGTGAAACTGATCAAATCACCTGTGCAAAATAATGGAAATCCTGAAAACATGACCTGTTGGGGTTCATGAGGACTGGAGTTGAGAAACACTGGGCTAGATGAAGACTTTTTTTTTTTTTACCCTGAAATTTGTG